TTCTCTCTATCCATCCAATTCTCCTTTAGGGACTTTTGTAGGGGTAGGCTCTTAGACTGTGTCCATGCTAGTTGGTATACGGATCATTAGGGAACGACTTGGGAGATTTGTGCTCCCTATAGAGATCGAGCAGGTTGGTGCTCGAGGCACTGAGGGCATTATTGATACTGTCTTAGAAGGCTTGGCTCAAGTAAGCGTCTACTCTCTTCCTTGCCTTTGTGCCTCCTTAAGGGTGTTGACCTTCCTTTATCTTTTTAGGTTTTAACTACATCTGCATGGCTTTTTCAAGGGTTGTTCAGTTCAGCCAGCTACACTCGACCGTTAGGGAGGAGAGGCTTGCTCATAAAGTTATAAATGGATAGCTATTGGCAGCTTAGGAGAGAATTTCTAAGCTCAAGACTAACGATGAGGCTTCCCAGATGGAGCTTATGGCGATCCATGAGAGGGCCACGCTTAGTGAGGCTGCTTGCACGAGGGGTAGAAGCAAAGCTTGCGGCGATCTGCGAGATGGTCGCTAAACTTGAGGTTGATGGTGAGGCTGCCCGCTTGAAAGCGGAGATAGAGTTGGAGGAAGTTGGTGAGAGGGTTTCTTGAGCTAGGACGAATTTGCAATTGGCTCGTGAGAGGGCTACCAAGGGCAAGGCTGATTTAGAGAGTGGCTTCGCAGATGCCTTTATTGACGACTATGAGGAGCTGCGAGATAGAATTTTGGCTGTTTTCCCTGATATTGACCTCTCAGGGTTTGTTCCATATGAGACGCCATCAGATGATGATTGATGAGTGTGCGAAAGTGCATTCTAAATACTCTATTATTAGATTAAAATGTAAATAGAAATAATTAGATATAATTTATATTATTGAATTTAATATCTATTCACATTGAGATATATTTGAACATTATTTTATAATATTTTAAATTTTAAATATTGCATTATTGGTTTGTGGGAAATAATTTACAATTGGACTTTATATTTAATATTTTTAGAACTTTATTATTGGGCTTTTATATTTATTTATTTTTATTTTGATAACAGTCCATGAAGCAAAAAGGCTGATATTGATATAGCTTTCACATGGGCCNTTGAGGCACCTTATTAGTAACTAAAAGGCTAATTCTGTGGAGTTGGCACCATCCTCGCAACATATGAGGCAATTGCAGAGCTCTCCTCAAGACCAGGTCTTAGAATGACGTAGCTGTCACGCCCCATCCCGGTCTTCCAAGGATGAGACGTAACTAGATTTTTGATACACCTATTTACAATTATTATAATCTAGACTAATCAAACACTAATAATCTCACAGGTGCAATAACACCACTCATCACTATAGTCATTAAGCATGATGATAAAACATGTCTTATAACCTGTATCATATATAAAACATCTGTACCAATTGTTTGTTTACCAGGTTATAGACATATACAAAATCCCATACCCATATAGCATACATCACAAAATATGCTTGTTAAGCCTGTTTACAAATGTATACTAATAACCTGCCATAATAATCTCTCACAAATATAATATAATACACAACCCAGCAATCAGTCATACCAACACTCAACCTGAGTGATATCACACTAACGTTGTACAAGACTCAATCGACTGGACAGTGGATTGGTCTGCACTTTCCTCCATTGTACCTGAAAAGGAAAAGCTATAAGGGTGTGAGCCAAACCAAGCATTCAATGAGTATACATGTTGTATATGAACTAGAAATGATAGTAAAACATGTATCAAGCAACAACATCAATCCAATTCCAAAGAATTCACAAGTCACATCACATTCATACTACCTCTCATCGGATAAACGATCCCACATGAATTTGTGTCTCCTGAACCTTTTGAGAACACCACCGTGCTAGCACACCACTGCACATCCAGTGATCAGACATCGACACCTTAGTCTCCAACAATGCGTCGTATTCCACAATACAAAATACGCAGTACAAAGTATCATTCAATCACATAAGCACGTAGCACATAATTTGGAGAATTGCTATTAAATTCTATCATTTACTATCATCTTATAATAGCATTTTCAAAACATATAAAGGTATACAACCACCTCAAATGTACAGATCTACAGCCCTTCGTTCCTATCGGTGGATCCTTTCGGTGTTACCATATCTGTTCTAACACCGATTGACTCACCCATTCCACCTAATACATTTGTAATTATAACATCAATATGTTTATCACATTTACTAGTTAATCATGCATCAATGCATGAAAAAATGATGCACCACAAAGTGCCCCGATAACTCCGGTTACTGTACTATCTACCGACAGACTAGCACTTTTGTTCTAGGGATCACATTTCCTCCCCAAAATTCCAAAATCACTCACATTAAACACAAATAGGATTAAGTAGGTCAAACACATTGACCGAGTGTCCATTTTCACATAATTCGACCCCGAATCCTAAAAATTGCACTTTCAGCATTTCATACATTTCGCATCGGATATTAGATTCATTTGCATTTGAAATTCACATTATCACATAAAATATTATTTAAAAATGTTGCATGCAAAATTTCAAGTCATTTGGATTAAAATTCATAAATGTGATAAAAACATTTAGAAACCAGGGTTTCCGCATTACCGGCACTCCTTTCCAACCTCTATCGTACTTATCGTTTAAAACAACAATATTTAATCTCACACACACCTTAATTCATAAAACTTCAGGAACCCTTTAACCTCCCAGTTCACTCCCATAATTTCAGTTTCAACCTAGCCCACTAAATACTTCCCAAATACTTCAAATGATCATTTTCATACTTTTCGCACACACTGTTGAATACCTATTTAACACTCATTCTTAATAACCCCTAAATTTTGTTTAACACCCTTAATTAAATCTATTTTAAACTTAAAATAACATATCCCATTAATTTAACATAAAATAGCCCACTAATTTATGTTTAATACGCTTAATTTAAACTCACAAAAAATATGTTTTGAAATTAAACTAAAACAACTCATTAGAATTAACCAAAAAAGTCCATGAATTAAATTAAAATAGTCACTAATTTAAAACATGTTAGAACAATCCACACATATACAAATACATATGTACTAAAATTAATCACAATGCATGCTTAAATTGAGTTGCACGTACCTTCCTTGCTCACAGTTCAAATGGACACGCACACATGTTTTTTTCTCTTTTACTCTCCCTCACTCTCGGTTCAGCAAGGAACCAGACACACACACACTAAATTATATATTAAACACACACACACACCCCTTTATACTTGACTTTACACACACCACTTTTACACCTTTAAACACACACACACATACACACGCGCGCGCGCGGCACATCACCCATTTTTTATGCCAACACCAATAAAGGTGACCCATGTTAATGGGTTAATTACGCTTACCTCCCCTCAAGTTTTTAAATAATGTCTAAATCGACCCACTATTTTTTTTACACATGAAATTCTATAAATAGATCTCACTAATACATCACTAACGGGGTCCACATACCCAATGTATGCTCACACACATCATGTCTATGAAAGATTTAATTTAATTAAACCTTTAATTATTTCACATAATTATAATTTAGCCCACAAAATCATGGTAATATACATGCAATACATGATTAGGTCTCACAGTGGCTGACTTCCTCACTCCTACTCTAAGGTGGCGTGGATGAGGCTCTTAGGATGACGTCGCTTACTTCTTGATGGTGTGGCTCTCGGGGCTTTGGTGAGACTGGCCAGACTTGAATCTCTTATGGGCCGGACCCACTAGGTCTTGTATGGGTGAGTCCATTATTCAAGTTGGGCCTGACCTAGGTAGGGCCTACAACCTGAGTCGGGCCTTGGTTTGGGCCCATCATTTTCCCCTTATGGACCGAGCCCAGTAAGACTTGGAGAAGAGGGCATTAGCTAAATTCAAACTCTAGTTGATGAGGACTCCTCTAGATTGATGACTCATTTTCCTTTTTGATATGGCTTATCCTTATAGGACATCCCTTTTTGACTAGGAAACTTTTATCCCAACTTATCACTTATTAGGACTCAAAACCCCGGGCTATAGATTGAGGTTTTTTTCCTTTCTTTCCATTCCGTTCAATCTTGAGAGAAAATCACTGGTGAGATGTCAAAGAGTGGTGACAAGTGGAGTGAGGCTAGCGAGTTTATCCCCAAGTTGGTGACCAAAGACAGTTGACGGGTGACGTAGTTGAAAGAGGGGAGATACNTACACACGCGCGCGCGCGGCACATCACCCATTTTTTATGCCAACACCAATAAAGGTGACCCATGTTAATGGGTTAATTACGCTTACCTCCCCTCAAGTTTTTAAATAATGTCTAAATCGACCCACTATTTTTTTTACACATGAAATTCTATAAATAGATCTCACTAATACATCACTAACGGGGTCCACATACCCAATGTATGCTCACACACATCATCTCTATGAAAGATTTAATTTAATTAAACCTTTAATTATTTCACATAATTATAATTTAGCCCACAAAATCATGGTAATATACATGCAATACATGATTAGGTCTCACAGTGGCTGACTTCCTCACTCCTACTCTAAGGTGGCGTGGATGAGGCTCTTAGGATGACGTCGCTTACTTCTTGATGGTGTGGCTCTCGGGGCTTTGGTGAGACTGGCCAGACTTGAATCTCTTATGGGCCGGACCCACTAGGTCTTGTATGGGTGAGTCCATTATTCAAGTTGGGCCTGACCTAGGTAGGGCCTACAACCTGAGTCGGGCCTTGGTTTGGGCCCATCATTTTCCCCTTATGGACCGAGCCCAGTAAGACTTGGAGAAGAGGGCATTAGCTAAATTCAAACTCTAGTTGATGAGGACTCCTCTAGATTGATGACCCATTTTCCTTTTTGATATGACTTATCCTTATAGGACATCCCTTTTTGACTAGGAAACCTTTATCCCAACTTATCACTTATTAGGACTCAAAACCCCGGGCTATAGATTGAGGTTTCTTTCCTTTCTTTCCATTCCGTTCAATCTTGAGAGAAAATCACTGGTGAGATGTCAAAGAGTGGTGACAAGTGGAGTGAGGCTAGCGAGTTTATCCCCAAGTTGGTGACCAAAGACAGTTGACGGGTGACGTAGTTGAAAGAGGGGAGATACGAGGAGTCACCAATATCGATGAGGAGGTAGGCAATGTCGGGGCAGGTCAACATTGAAACAGTCAGCGTCGACGAGGCAGTAGCCTTAGGCATCAAACGCAAGGCATCCTGGGTTGGCGAGCATGTAATGGTGGTACACGCCAATCGTAAAGGAATGAGCGCGCCAGGGGTGATGATGCAGGATGTCGTGGGTAGAGGATCAATGTGCATGTCTGGGATGGTGGCGTTAGGCACGCTAGGAGCAGTGACGCTGGGTGCCTGACATGGAATTACATGAGTGCAGGAGGATAGGACACCGGGAGTCAGTGCTGGTGCGCTAGACAACGACGGTAGTAGTTAGATGGTGGGTGGCACGACTCGTTCATGCAGAATTCCCCGGGCCTAGGCTCCTTCAGGCTCTTTAGATAGTGGTCCAAGCAGTACTTTCTTTTTGGGGGGGGGAGAGAGAGACTTGAACCCTTGACTCTAGGAAAGCAAAACCTTCATAAAATAAGGAGTACCATTGGATTAAAAATCTATTATTTATTTATTTATTTTGGGAGGGAGGAGGGGGAAGGGGGCTCAAGTAGTACTTCACTTTGTCCTCGCACCAGTAGATACCAAGGAGAAGTCACCCTTGATGATGATGGATCCAAATTAAGTATCATCTCTAGTTCCATTAACACTAATGCCCATGGTGCTGTGTCACCAAGCCGAAATGGATGAGCCCGACTATGATGACTCTTCTAGAGATATTGCTATTTATGAGAAGGTATTTGAGGCAAGGCTAATGTTCCCCATGCCTTCTTATATTTGTCGCATCTTTCATTTTTTTTCACTCACGCTAGAGTGTTTGGTGCCCAATGGTTGGAGAGTTCTACTGGGATTTCTTGCACTATGGAGGAGGGTGCATCATAAGGATATTTCTCCTGAAGAGTTTGTACGGCCTATACATTGAGCAAAACTCTTGGTCCTAATCGTGGCTGGTATTACTTTACTCCGAGGGGAGGAAAATTAATTGTTGGGCTGCGCTCCAATTGCCATAGTTAGAAAGCTCGCTTCCTATTTGTTGGAGGAAAGTCAACTTCAAATGTTGACAAGGCTTTTGGTACCGGTGAGATAAGGTATTCCCAAGAGAATAGGTACAACTACTCTCATTTTTCTTTTTCTTTTTATTATTTTTTTAAATGTGTATTTACCACATTTTTCCCAAGTTCCCCAGCGCTCTCAAGAGAGGGTATGGTTAGAGACCCCCCTTTCTAGAGGTGTTAGAGTCGGTGTACCTTCTTCCAAGGCTGATAACTCATCCTTGAAGATAAAAGGTATGGGGGCTGCCTTTGAATTTCCTCTTCTTTTTTTGGTAACACTTTGTCCTTCTACAGTGGACATGACAGTGGTGGAGTCCTCGTTATTCCACTAGGAGTACTCCTCCACCCAAGATGGCCAGGGTGGATGATGTTCTGACGGGTCCTTCTCAGATGACCCTTCCAGTAGCTCCTCCTTAAATAGCTTCTTTAGTGATTCCCCAGAGGTTCCCGAGTTACTACTCCAGAAGTGGCTGCCCTTTTAGAGAATCCTTAGGCGACCGCGCCTCCTTCTTTCTATCCATCCAATTCTCCTTTAGGGACTTTTGTAGGGGTAGGCTCTTAGACTGTGTCCATGCTAGATGGTGTACGGATCATTAGGGAACAACTTGGGAGATTTGTGCTCCCTATAGAGATCGAGCAGGTTGGTGCTCGAAGCACTGAGGGCATTATTGATACTGTCTTAGAAGGCTTGGCTCAAGTAAGCGTCTACTCTCTTCCTTGCCTTTGTGCCTCCTTAAGGGTGTTGACCTTCCTTTATCTTTTTAGGTTTTAACTACATCTGCATGGCTTTTTCATGGGTTGTTCAGTTCAGCCAGCTACACTCGACCGTTAGGGAGGAGAGGCTTGCTCATAAAGTTATAAATGGAGAGCTATTGGCAGCTTAGGAGAGAATTTCTAAGCTCAAGACTAACGATGAGGCTTCCCAGATGGAGCTTATGGCGATCCATGAGAGGGCCACGCTTAGTGAGGCTGCTTGCACGAGGGGTAGAAGCAAAGCTTGCGGCGATCTGCGAGATGGTCGCTAAACTTGAGGTTGATGGTGAGGCTGCCCGCTTGAAAGCGGAGATAGAGTTGGAGGAAGTTGGTGAGAGGGTTTCTTGAGCTAGGACGAATTTGCAATTGGCTCGTGAGAGGGCTACCAAGGGCAAGGCTGATTTAGAGAGTGGCTTCGCAGATGCCTTTATTGACGACTATGAGGAGCTGCGAGATAGAATTTTGGCTGTTTTCCCTGATATTGACCTCTCAGGGTTTGTTCCATATGAGACGCCATCAGATGATGATTGATGAGTGTGCGAAAGTGCATTCTAAATACTCTATTATTAGATTAAAATGTAAATAGAAATAATTAGATATAATTTATATTATTGAATTTAATATCTATTCACATTGAGATATATTTGAACATTATTTTATAATATTTTAAATTTTAAATATTGCATTATTGGTTTGTGGGAAATAATTTACAATTGGACTTTATATTTAATATTTTTAGAACTTTATTATTGGGCTTTTATATTTATTTATTTTTATTTTGATAACAGTCCATGAAGCAAAAAGGCTGATATTGATATAGCTTTCACATGGGCACGACACTCATAATTTTTATTGGGCTTTAGAGGCTAAAATAAAATGGTTGGAATAAAGAGGGGATGAAAATGTCTTTTCTCAAGAAAAAGGGGGGGACTTTGACTTTTAAGAAACCCTTGTTTTTTCCTTGGTGGGTGACGGCTATTGTTTTTGGTTCTTCCTTGGTGTGTGGCGGCTGAAAGAATAAAAAGAAAAGAAAAGGAGGAGGTGGGGTCCTGGGCAGCTGGCGGACGCAGTGGAGGATCACAAAAAAATGTCGATGCTTGCTATTTTGCTCTATTTAGTTGGGAGATTTTTGTTGTCCATCATATTTATGGGTAACAAAATTCTCAAGTAAGGCGAGGGATGAACTTGCACAGTAGATAGTATTTTATTTATTTTTAATTTATGCAGGTGATTTTTAATTACTAAAACTCTTTTGTTTTTATCATTCTCAATTTATTGTTGATATTTTCTTCTTTGAATAGTCATAGAATTTATTCTGTTTATAGATTCAGTCATGATTTTTCTATTGAATGGATTAGTTCTTTGATTATGTTTGGATCAATTATTTATCTATATTGATTTAATTCTTTGCTGCAATATTACTTTTTTGAGTATATTGTTTTCGTTGTATTTTCGCAATAGTGATAATAATTTACGTATTTTAAAAGTGGTGAATGATTTTTCAAACGGTTACATTGGGGTTTAATCTTAGTTTATAAATTTATATCTTCCGGTTGGGAATTTTGGGAATTAAATTTTCGATTGAGTTATTCAATGAATTAAGAATAATTAAAATATCAGATTTGTGCAAGGGATTCCTGACGCTTTACTATTTGTCAAATTGAAATACTTTTTCCGTTAATCACTTTGCTTCGCATTTAAAATTAATATTTATTATCCAGTAATCATTTCATATTTTTATTTAATTTCTTTGTTCATTCTATTATTCTTTTAATTTGTCTCTCTGTGGAATCGACACCTCAAAGCCGTGCTACAATTACCGCGTTATTCTTTGGACGTAATCAATGATGATGGGGACTCTGGTGGAGCAAAGGATAAGGATGAGGAGGACAACGACAGTGATAATAGTGACAGTACTAAGGACTTTTGATTATTCTTTTTTTTTTTTTTAGGTTGGTAGATAGGAAGTGTTTAGTCTGCCTTTTGTAAAAGTGATTTTTGCCACTGACGTTTATCTGAAATAGAATGCAAGGAATCTTTTGGAGTAAATTCAGAAAATTTTATTTAATGGTTGCTCATAATAAGCAATGGTGGGCAATAATCCCAAAAAAAGGTACAAGTCTTTTGACTAAAAGAAAAAACAAAATCAAGTCCTTCAGCTTTATCACTTTTGTCCTCCTCAAGTGTTATTGATAGTACCTCTTCCGATGCTCAACATTTCTCGAATGAAATAAGAGTTTTCCCTCAGAATTCTAGATTTTGTAGGTGTTTAGCCTTACTATCTCTGTCACAGAGTAGTACCCTTCTCAGTTTGGTCTAAACTTCCCTTCTTGTGAATCCTTTGTGGTGAGTATTACTTTCTTGAGAACTAGGTCTCCTGGTAAGAAGAAGCGAGACTTCACCTTCGATTGTAGTATTTCATCACGCAACACTTACACTCTGCATTCTAGACCATGATCATATCTCTTTCCTCCTCCATTTAAGTCAAGGTTGATGCGGAGTCATTCCTCGTTGGTGATAGGGTCGTGGTGTTAGACCCTTAGGGAATGTATTCCAATCTCCACAAGTATGACCGCTTTGGTTCTGAAGGCAAAGAAGAAAGGAGTCTATCTAGTTGGGACCCTTGTTATCGGCCGATAGGCCCATAATACAAGTAGGAGTTTGTGTACCTAGAGACCCTTTGCTATTTTCAGCCTGTCTTTAGATTATGTAATACTGTTCTGACTGTGACCTCTGCCTGTCCATTTTGCCTGCAGATGTGTTGGGCTAGAATGAGGCTGCTTTATCTAAAGGTCAGCTTAAAAAGAGTTCAGGAGTTTGTTGTCGAACTGTTTGGCGTTGTCACCGACTATGCCATGATGTACTCCAAAGCGGCAGACTAGGTTTTTTTAGATAAAGTCCTTAACTTTCACGTCTGTTATCTTGGTGTCATCCTCGCAACAGATAAGACAGGTGCGAAGCTCTCCTCGAGACCAAGTCTTAGGATGACTTCCTCACTCCTTACTCTAAGGTGGCGTGGATGAAGCTCTTGGGATGGTGTCATTTACTTCTTGATGATGTGGCTCTCAGGGCTTTGGTGAAACTCGTCAGGCCTAGATCTCTTCTGGGCTGGACCCACTAGGTCTTGTTTGGGCGAGTCCATTATTCAAGTTGGGCCTGATTTGGGTAGTGCCCATAGCCTAAGTTGGGCCTTGGGTCGGGCCCATCTAAATCCATACATTTGTTGTATCTCTAATCTTTTGCTTAACCTGTACTTCTCAAAATCTTTCAAGTAGCCCAACATAAGTGAATTAATACACTTTGAGGTTCATTGCGGCGATTCTAAATGAAGTTTTTTATTTTCTAATATTAATTTAAAAATTTCCTCGCTTTTTGATGGTAATTGTTAGTCAATTTTTACACGTATCTTTTCAATTGATCATATGACTAATCCACTTA